GTTATAACCCACTGCATTTTATGTATCAAAATAAATACAAAAATCTAGAAAAAAGAATGAGAAGTTTAGAAGTCATTGAAAGGGTTTCTACTAAAAATCCCTTTCTGAATACATATAGATATAGATTATTCTTTTCTCTGTCTTCGCTTACTCTTGGACGGTAAAACACTAGTACAAGTGAAGAATTGAGGTTGCAATTGCATATTTGCAGCTCCAAAAATAAAAATTGAACTACCGAATCTGGAAGGGATGAAGAAAATTATCATGTTCTTTCTTTCTTTTTTTTTATAATTTTCTCGATGCCCAAATTTCACTATAGTGTTTCATGTTGATCGTTGAAATTAATCCAATGATCAAAATTCTTAGAAACGATTGGTTGTGAGGAGAAGTGAGAGGATTTTTTTTTTTTAACAAAAAAAAACACACACACACACACCTCACGTTTCAATAGATCATTGGCGAAAGGATTGCGAAAACTTGCTTTCGTTTTCCCCATTAATATCGATTTATTATACAATGATTTATAATGTCTCAGATGATTAGTATGAATATTAAACCATAGATAAAAATCATGGACTCATCTATATCATCCCCATCTATGTATAAAAAACTGTATATCACTTTCATAATATTAAGGGTAAAAAAAAAAAAGCCCCCTGTGGTAAACCTAATATACAGAAAAGTCTCCTATGATTTTAAAATATACAATACGATACCTCATATTTTGAACTAAATTATAAAGGTGACGGAATCCGTTAAACTTAACGGAAATGACTTATTGGAACTTAAAAAAAAATTTTTATGCCTAAGTTTTATCAAATATACCTATTCTACCCCTTAACTCTCAATTCTCTCTACTTAGAGAATAAAACAAATGATTTTTTTGAGCTGTCTTTTGCTTAATTATATCAGTGTATTTTGGTCATTTCGTCCATTTTCGTTAAGTTTAACGGATTCCGTCACCTTTACAATTTAGTTCAAAGCATGAGGAGTCGTGTTGTATATTTTGAAACCATGGAAGGCTTTTATGTGTATTAGGTTAACCACAAGGGATTTTTTTGTTTTTTACCCTAATATTAACTATCAAATGGTCCAGAAAATATGAGAAATAAGATGATATTCAATTTTCATATACTTATGTAATTTATCCAAGAAGGAGAGATTTATGATTGTTTGGATTAGGGTTGTAATCGAGTCGAGTCGAACCCGAGTATCGCCATACTCGAGCTCGACTCGACATGCAAGAAGGCTGCTTGAACTCGAGCGAGTACTATTATTGGAGCTCGAGCGAGTACTATTATTAGAGCTCGAGCTCGAGCTCGATGCTTGCTCGCAATACTCGAACTCGACTCGCATGGGCTCGTGTTCATGCAAGCCTTATCGAGCTCAGTCGAGTTCGAATTATTAAAATTCATTTTCTTGGTAATTTTTTAGCGAAAAGACATTATTGTCCTTTTAAAATTTTTATATGACTTGAAATATTTCGTAAATTCGATAATTCTTTTGGATATAAGAGTAATTTTATAATAATAATATATTAAATAATTAAAATTAAAATGCTCGATAAGGCTCGTTGAGCCTTCGAGCATCGCTTTCTGGATGCTCAAACTCGAATTGATAACCTTATCGAGCTGCTCGAACTCGGTTTGATTATGTTCGAGTCAAACTTTTGACCGAGCTGCTCGCGAGCAGTTCGGTTCGATTACATCCCTAGTTTGGATAGTTTTTTGTTAAAAAAATTTATATTTTTCGTGATCTCATTTTTGAATTACATTTTTATCTCTTATACTTTTTTCCACAAAAAAAAAATTAAAAAAAAAAAACAATCCAATCTGGCTCTTAAGCTCGGTGGATGGCCAAATCTTAAACTTTTCATCAGATAATGGGTTACACCAAACATGTTGCATTCCTTGAAAGCCATTTGTTCTGGTCGGCCTCAGTCAATCGTCATTTTCGAATAAATCCACTATCATTGGCCAGCAGTAAGAGTTCTTTTTTATCGGAAAAGAAACAGCAGTACAAGTCGGTCCTTCTTATTCACTCTTCCCATGCAATTCCACGTACGTCCCAACTTCGTTGCAGTACAAACAGTGGAGTACAAAAGTGAATGCGTACAGAACTTGGTAGTACAAGCATTTTCAGCTTCTCGTTTGCCACTTGTTTTTTTTATTCCCCTGTTCTATCGTGGCCCATGGGTACCGCGTTATAAGTTTGACTGGGCTTTTTTGGACTCTTCATAGAAGATGCGGCCAGACTATCATAATTGGATATCTTTTCCTGGACTTCTTTGGTGTACTGATGCTGCTCGATTGGTATGATGAACTAGGCCCAAACTTGAAAGGGCTAAACTACAAAAGCATTGCAATGAGTCCACCCAAACTGCTCTTCCACAATCTAGTAATATTTTTTGGATTAATCTTTCAAATTCAAATTTTGCATGATTGTTTATTCATCCCACGCTGATAGTGTATACACCGTCAGTGTAGGAAAGGTCTCATATTTTTTATCAATATATTTAATACTGTCAATTACAGAAATAAGAGTCCACAATCTTATTTGTATTGTATCGTATTTGTAAACTTAGGATTAATTTTTTATACACTGACCATTCCTATTGGATACATGACAATTTATCTGAATTTAAATTTAAAATTTAAATTTAGCTTATCTATCATGTATCCAACGGTGATAGTATATACATATTGTCAGCGTATGTAAGATTTACTCGTAAAATTAATGAGTTCTGCAATCTTGTTTGGAACATTTTTATTGGTTCAAAAACAAATTTTGGACAAAACAAATATTTTATTATTTTGTTACTTTGGTTTTGTAATTTCCAAACTCCTTACTTTCTTTTTACAGATTGCCAATAGTCGTACAAGTCACCAACGCATGACACATGTGACACAGCAGCTGAACAAGAAACACAAAATAGATAAAAAAAAAAAAAGAAGGAAAGACGTTACTTAAAATAGAAAACGCTTCCTTTCCCCCTGTGGCCTCACCCTTTCTTTCCAAAGGAAAAAGGGACTAAAGAAAAAATGGAAGCGGGTTCAACAATTTATCAGAGAGCAACATTGATAGCCTATATGGTTGGTTGAACTTTGAAGCCCTTGATGCACTAGTAGCAATACCTGCAAGTCTCTTCATACGGAATACACTGTAAATATGAAAATCTCGTGAAAGAACATATGGTAATTGGTAAAAAGCTTCTCCAGGTTCAGGCCTTTCAGCTTCAGGGGTTGCATTCTTTGCCTGATCAAGCTCCTGAACCATAAGGCATTCTATGAAAAAAAAAAGGCAAGCCATTTTTTTCTGGATGGAAGCCTGGCCTAAAACATGACCCCCGCTTTAGCCACCCCACATGTTTGTATATAAAGGGATGTTTAGGTAGTTTAATTCCCACGAACATCATCGGTACCAGTTTCCTATTCATACATCATCTTACTAGCACTGATGCAAAAAATGACTCCTCTGAGATGCATCAATTTCATTTTTCTGGCCTTTTGGGTTCCTGCTGTCCTCGCGGTGATGGCCGAAAAACCCCTAGTTCCTACATACCTAATCCCCAAACCCCCTCCACCGCCATCGCCAGTGAAACCATCAGTACCCGTGATACCTGTCAAACCCCGAATCGTGAGATGCCGCTCCACATTGTTTCCTCTCTGCTTCAATATCCCCTTCGTTTGCCCCTTAGACTGTCTTACCAACTGTTTAGTGGACTGTGTCACCTGCAAGGCTTACTGCAGTAAGTTCAGTAACTGTACATTATAATTATTACCACGGCATTCCCCTCTCTAACATAACATTGTGCTTTCCACTATAATTTGGGACTTCAAAATCGTACTTGGACTAATGCAGACCAATGTAGCTCTCTAGTGCAAGTTTTATTCTTGGATTTCTAACTTTTGGCCCTTTAAATTATTCTATCTCCAGGTTGCAACTTTCCCGGCGCTGTTTGTCAGGATCCACGATTCGTTGGGGGCGATGGCAACACATTTTACTTCCATGGCCGCAAGGATCAGGACTTCTGCCTGGTTTCGGATACCAATCTTCATGTAAATGGTCATTTCATTGGCAAAAGAAAACCCAATTTGCGCAGAGACTTCACTTGGGTGCAGGCCATTGGAATAATGTTCGACGACCACAGAATCCTCGTGGCCGCAAAAAGGACTTCAACGTGGGACGACAATGTGGATCGACTCGCTATATCCATTGATGGAAATCCGATTTCCCTCCCCACTGAAGAAGGATCCAAATGGCAACTTCCGGCCCCGTCCAATGTCAGTATCATGAGAACAAGCAACAATAACGGACTTGTGGTTGAAGCCGTGAACAATTTCAGGATCACCGCCAATGTGGTTCCAATAACAGCTCAAGAATCAAAAGTTCATGGTTATGACATTACTGATGAGGATTGCTTTACCCATTTGGAGCTTGGGTTCAAATTCTTCAACATCACCGATTCAACTGATGGAGTTCTGGGACAAACCTATAGGAGCGATTACGTGAACAAAATGAAGGTGAATGCGGTAATGCCAGTCATGGGCGGTGACCGTAAGTACTTGACTTCGGGACTTTTTAGTGCCGATTGTGCTGTTTCTCGCTTTGGTGGGAAGGTTCTTGAGAAAGCCAATTCTGCTTCTCCTGTGCATGAGTATCCAGCCTTGAACTGCAAGAGTGGGATGGAAGGGAATGGCTTGGTTTGCAAAAAATAATTAAGTTGCTACAGAGCATGTTGTATGCTGAATGATGAGCTATAAATAATTGAGTTTCAGAAAAGTCTTATTAGAAATGAAGTGATCATAGCTTTACATGAAGTTGCAGCTGTAGTAAATTGCTTATTCTGTTTATGGGTTTTTATTATCAATTTGCATTTAGTTAAACAAACCTGAAAATTATTGAAAAACTTTCGAGTATTCTCAAATTTCCATAATAATGAGTAATAATAATCATAGGCATCATAGCTAGATAACTGATCGCATTGTCTGGTAGTCGAATCCTTTTAAGTCTATAGTGTAAAAGCAAACCTTGACAAACCAAGGAGAAGAGATTAATACATCCAAGTACATGAACTTCATCAATACTATGGTAGTTGTTTGAAAAGCCTCACTGGCACATATGGGAATATTTATACTAGGTTGATCAATTGAGGAGGCTCTGAAGAGAAGGTTTCAGAGCTGAATACACTGCTTCCCAACCTTGTTGCGAAGGATGAATATCATCCCAGAAGAATTGCTTGAGATCCTCGCATACGATGTACTTCTCTATTCCAACACCGTTGACACTTCCACACGTATAACCCCTTTCAGTACCAACACAACATGGACTTAATTGATCCTCAAACGTCGAATTTCCTGCATTCATGGACAAGAAAAATGTAAACTTCTCGCGTTGTATATACATTGTGGATATATACCAGATAGATTTGAATTCTATGAATCTTGATATTTGCCTGGTGCTATGTATGATTACCTGGATGGTTGTTTTGCAGGTTCAAGGCAGACATGAAAGCGCTATAGAGGTCAAGGATCACAAACACAGGTGCACCAGCTTCATTGTTAAGATTCTCTATGTTTTCCTGCAACATTTGGTTGTGGAATTTGGCCAGCCAATTTCCATTTTCACTGCAATTTTTATGTGAAATGGAAGCAGTCGTCATGGGCAAACACCCTAAGGGGTGCATTGCTGTAACGCCTACTCTCCGCACCCCTAATCCATGTATTCTTTGAAGATCCAACACAAGCTGGCTCATGATTGATTTAGTGAAAACAGGCGATTCCTGTTTCATGTACGTACGTTTTTGTTTTCGAGTGAGATATTTCAGTAGTAATACAAATCTACATCTTTTCATAATTAATTTATTTATCAGATCACTTGTATTCTTTCCAGTGAATTTCAAATCAACGATCCAATGCTTGCTTGATTTCATGAAGTTCGAATTTAGGTGACAGCATACGAGTTGCTTGAGTTCCAGTGCACTGTACATGGGGACGTCAAGAATTTCTAAACTACCGCACCTCACCTTCATTATGATGGAGACTTTTATATCCTATAAAACTGCTTTTCCAATAATCCACATCAATCCACGGACTACAAACTTGAGCCATTGACATGAAAGTTGTACAAAGTTTTGTACATGTACAATAAATAACTATGGATGTAATTTCTCTTAAAATCAAATCATAGGTAACTCGTAAAATTAAGATTTTTTTTGAATATCGAGTCAAACTAAAATTACTTTCTGACTCGATAGTAATATTGAATATCGATGAATCATAAATGCTCCTTTTCAATTTTCCGATCATTTTTTTCATTTACTTTTACCTACCTCTTGTGTTTTTTTTATCGATCTACTAAAATTCCAACCAATAAATTTCAAAAGAAAAAAGAAAAAGGACCCCAAAATGAACTGGAAAACTATTGCTTACAAACTCTATATTCTTAAGCTGCTCGGCTAACATGCACAATTTCTTAACAGAAAAAGGACATGTACGAGTTCTAATTAACCACATAGTTTATCTATCAACCATGGGAACTGCACAGATGGGATTAGCTTAACTACTCGTATGACTTACCTCATTGGTGCCATTTTTGCCAAAATAAGCAGCATAGTCGTTGCCAGCCACAGACACTAAAGCAACTGAAGAACTCATGTTTTCTGGGCTGTACACTTCTTCTTCTTGAACCAGTTGTTGGAAAACATTAATCTGTGTTGTCATATTTGGTCCATTAGCCAATGTTGTGAACACACCTGTCCCTCCTTCGGCAAAGTTCAATCCATTTTCCAGTGCAGATTTCTCGCCTAATCCCAGCCATTCATTGAAGGGTATTGGAGAACTTGTGCCAAGAAATGAAGCTGAATGTGTACAAATATGATGAGGGTCAAGCAAAATTTCACAAGCAGCTAGCATTGAGAACTACTCATTGTATTGTATCCATGCAAAAGATTTAAAAGCTAGGAAAGTAATTGCTATACAAGATTTACAAAGGCCACCAAAAAAAAAAAAAAAAGCCGAAGATATAACAAAAATAATTTGCAAATTTTGTGGTAAAAGATGTTCCAAAAATTCAGGAAAAAAAATGAATAAATTTTGTCGACTATTTCATACAGGAGCCCAATAAGCATGCAGGTCGGAAATTAAAGCAATGTGTGGTACCTATGTAATCAGTGAGAACGCGACCATCAGAGAATCTGCCTGACGGTTTACCCGGAAAGCTCACCCCATATGGCTTCTTCCAAGAGATTGCTGTGGATTTTGGCGAATTACCGGCGTCAGCATATGAGTCACCGAAAACAAAAAGCTTCGGCAAGTTCGGAGCATTTTGATGATGATGGTACCGCACTTTGGCACCAGTTACAGTTTCTGCACATCAATCATCAACACGCCAAGAAAGACATGATAGTTTAGTTAGCAGTGCATCAGATTCTTATGTAGAAGTACTTATCAAAGTGAAGTAACAAAGTGTTAGCAATTTGCTTTCTAGCTAACCCGGAGCACAAGCTGTCCAAGAAATCGAAAGGATGAAGAATGTGAAGTATGCCGGGGGATACAACATTGTATGCTTTTCCATCTATTAATTATGCGAGAAGCGAAACTAGTAAAAGGCCCGGAAAGTTGGATTCTTGCAGAAGTAGAACGCAGCTTCACGAGGTAAAATGGAGTATTGGAAGAGAGTAAACAAGATTGAATGCAAGAAGATGCGGGTGCATGGCACGAAAACTGCAACCTGCTTGAGCTCATCCCCGGCTATTTATCAAGAATTTGGCTGTTGGTCGAGGGCCCTACGCATTGTACGGGTTTATTCTTGCATAAACACGTGTTTAATTAGAAAAAATAGTAGGCACATAATTTTACAGACATGATATGATGAGTAGTTTTTAAGTAGATTAGCATTATTGTGTAGTTTTTTAAGTAAACAAGCATTGTGTTATAATATCTTGAAATTTTTTTTTCATCATATTACGTCCCAAGTCTAAAATCAAGAAGACAAGAAAGTAGCCCACTTCAGAGCATCTTTCTTTCTATCTTTCCTTTTTCTGGCAAATAGGTTGCAGACAGTAAAAAACTGAGATTGCATCCTGTTCCAAACCCCACAAAATAAACTCTATACCGTGTTGTCTTCATGATACCAATCAAGAATATGATTAAATGAGACCGAAAGGTGGCTTCTTTCCTTTCCTTTAAAAAAAAAAAAAAAAAAAAAATCTGGAGCTAGAATCCACGGCAAGGAGGAGCTTCCTTAAGCATAGGTTAAGACGAGTGTATGGTTATAAAAGCCTTGTGAAACAAGTAGACCAATGCCATAGATTAGTTCTTCATTATCATAAAGAACTAAACAACATTTGGACGTAGAAAAACATAAGCTCATTGGATGGGTTGGAAAACATAGTTCGAAAGCTAATGCAACACTTGGAATTAGGAAGGTAACTGTCGCACTTAATTATTTATTTATTTTATTGAACTGAGACACCCAGCAATTGGAGAGTATCACTGGGAGCAAAATGAGGTAACAGGGATGTACATTCAGGTCAACGTCTGAGTAGTTGCCATTTTCCAGATCTTTAAGGGTTCGTTTGGGAGTGGAGGATTTGGACAGAAAAGAAAGGGAAAGAAGAAAAGTTAAGTTTTCATTCCTCTTCTCTCACAACTTAAGTTTTCCCTTCTTCTCTTTTCTATCCTAAGCTCCCAAACTAAGACTAAAGTAAGCTCACGCAAGTTGCATACAAATTAAAAGTAATTGCGAGGCATCCATGCTCACCAGCCATTTTCCCCTCCTACATTTCAATAATCTTGAGGCAAAAACATTTAGCGTCGAAACCTTAAATCCTGGAAGAACATGAAAATTGCCCTAGATTAACTGTTCTGCACCCCAAAAAACCCAGCATTCAAAAGGAGCACTAGGAAGTGCCATAGGGAGTAATCCTTGTGAATTTGATTTCAAATTAACCAGGATGGATTTCCTCCAGTTTGCTGCAATATGATCCTACTATCCTAATTCTCGTCGTTGGAAGCCAAAACTTGAGAAATCAACAATTCTCAGATGGAGGAAACAACGTTGAGAGAGCAACCCCTAAAATGGGTCCAACAGTGCTTGATTCCGGCTAGTCAGGGGACCAATGCGGTCATTGGATACCGGGAGGTTTACACCAAAAAAAAACTTGAGAAATCAAGGCAAACTCGGGCTTGCTCGAGGTTAAGGTCAGCTTAACTTCACGTTAGTTAAAAGGAAGGCTGAAGGCACACTGGAAAAAATTCAGGTAGCTGGTCTAGGGCGTCCTCTGGAATATTTTGGTGGATTTTTCTTGGCGACATCAACAGTTATCATCCACCCATTGATTATCTGTAATCATAGAAGGAAACAATCTCAGCTTGTCTTTCACACTGCGAAATGACTAAAATTCAAAATCTTGCTTCACATAGAACAACTACGCTTGTAAAGCTACCTTGCCATTCATCTCTTCAAGGGCAGTGGCTGCAGCTTCCTCAGTGGTGTACTCTATAAAAGCATAACCCTTGGACCTTTTAGAGATCTTGTCCATTATGATTTTAACTGCAAGTGGTAATAGATTAACGCTAAACCAAGTTAGAATTATGTGAAAAGAAAAAAAATTCGTAATTACCATAACCAGAGAAGTCCTTTAGTGCATTTAAGCATAATACCTTCAACAAGTTCGCCAAAACCTTCAAATGCTGCCCGCAGAGTCTTCTCTGAAGTGTAAAATGATAGACCTGCCACAGGATGCAGTAAGACACATTGTGAAGAAAAATGTATTGACCCATGTGAATATCTCCCCCCCACCCCCCTCTTAAAGCTTATAAATACTCATATCAGGCACGTGCAAGGTAAAGATTAAAAAATATATATATCAAAATAGAAGATCAGGGCACAGTGTCAGAACCAGGATTTCTCACACGCAGATTTGGATCAAGAGAGAATTTGATTGAATTCTAAGGACACTATATCAGAAGACTATTCCAGAAGTTACTTTTAGCTCCATCAAGATTTTCTTCACTTACATAATGATAAATGGCATAATCATTGTAATCACATGACAAAAGCTACTTGTCATACTACAAAAGTCCACTCGCCCTATCTCCAGAATTTAAAGAAAGACAAAAACAACAAAAAGGTAACAAGCAAAATGAAAAGTGGCTGTAGATGCTTGCAATCAAGCCATAGCTCAGGGCTAGAGTGCTGAAGTTAATTTAAGCCATTGGTAATCACATAGAGCATATCAACCAACTAAACAGTAGCTTCTTGGACAAAATTTAACAATAGACAGTCTGATCCAGGATCCCAAACTAGGAAGGCTGCATTTGACTGTCTAATACACAATCATGTTTATGAGCATAAACATCTATAGGAATATATGTACCACATTTCAGCACTTCTCAGCAAAAAGAAAAGCAGTTCTAAAAGATAAATGACAACGATTGTTAACAGGCATGGAAGCCACAAGATACCTGTGACAAAAAGCTTCTTAGTCTTAATGTTTGTCACTTGACTCGGTGACGAAGAATCTTGAGGGCCACTATTTTCTAACTTTTCACCTGAGAGAAGAATATTGAAATTGTTGTTTAAGTTTGCTAAAGTAAAGCAGAAACATGATTGCGGGAAAAACTGTGAAAAGATAATCCACAGAAAACAATCCAACTGAACAAGTCCACTGTACCAACTGACACAGTAACAGGAACAATGGTGGGGATGTTTCACTCAACAAATTAATAATCAATGCTAAAAGACCACCTCATTTTCTGATTTGTACTGATTTTAGAACCAAAAACAGTAGCAGAGGAATAAGGTGAAGTTCCGCAAAATGAGAAATTATAAATGAAATAGTTCTACCTTTAAAGCCACTCTTAAGACCTATGATTTGAGGACAAATGCATCCAAAGTCATTAAGTCAAGTATGCTAAATATGAATTGACCTGTAAACATTCAGACATAACCATATATATTATCAAGAAAGAACTACTAGACCTCAAAATGGAAGATTTGCCAATACGGAATTATCTATAAAAACAAGACCCAAGGGTTTTCTTCATAATGTATAACAAAATGACCTGACTCATGAAATGAAGGTAGTTAGACAAACCTCCATAATCTTTATCATTGGACTCAAAATTTTCATCCAGACGAACTGATAGAACACTGGGAACACCTGCAGTAGATAAAGACATTGAGTGTGATGTGATGAACAAACCAATGCATCATAATAAACTTGCAGGGAGATATGCTGACCAGCTAGCTCCTGTGCACATGCATCGTCCAGTTCACAACAGAACCCATAATTTGATTGCAAAGATACGTGATATATGCACATTTGAGCGTCATTTTCACTACGATGAATGGCGCCTCAAGTTAGATGTATATTGATATTCATGATGCAAACAAAAGAAGAAGAAAGAAAGAAATACACAAAACTCAGCTACTTACTTCCCCATAACCTTGGTTAGAACGCGAACATAATAATCAACAACCTGTTTCTTGGTGATTAGCACACCAAGTGGCTTCTCAACACGAACAATCCAGCGTTTAGAAGCCCCGGGAGTAAATAACAAGGGACTCCTGCTGTATAAACTTGATGGAGGATTTAACTCAACTCCACAGTCCGAGAGTCCGTAATCCTTTTGTACAGAGCCAAGATCGAGGTCCGGCCTTACTGATAGAACACCTGGTAAACCTATTACCCATGCAACAGTAAAGTCAGCTCAACTATTGCTCCTCTACACGTTGTCGAAGGACAGAACAGAAAGCTATAAAAATGTGTTCAAACTTCTGGCAATTGGCAAAACTAAATATCGAACAAGGCAAATATTTTATATTGATAATTAATTTCATACGATAGAAAATGAAAGAATGGAAAGGAAAGAGGAAGAGACAGTTAAGAAGAACCTACGAGCTAGTTCATCAGCTGCATCTTGATCAATGTCACAACAGAACCCATAATTGTTTCTGGTGCAACAAGCATCATATATACACATCTGGGCATCTTTTTCACTGTCCAAAATGGCAACTTGGAATCAAATTGACGAAGCCATATGAATGAAATTTAAAACGTTAAAAAGCAAAATTCAAGGAAAATACTTGGTGCACGCGACAGATTGCATAATAAGTAGTAAACAAGAAAGGAGGCATCTTGTTAAGGTTATAGAGACATACCCACCTGCCAACAACTCTTTCAAGGTTCTTCACATAGTAATCGATGATTTCTTCTTTGGAATTAAGCTCTGGACTAGGTTCCTGCATTAGAACCATCCAGTGGCGTTGAGGACTGGTATTATCACAACCAGCTGATATTGAAGGCAAGGAAGTAGTAGTAGTAGTAGCAGCTGCTGCAGATACTAGGACTCTTGTTGTTTTTGAGGAAAAGGAACGAGAAGAATTAGTAAAAGAAGAAGAAGAAAGAGTGATAAAGGCGGAGAGGTTTTGTGGAGGAGGGATTTTAAGGGGAAAAGGGACGAAAGGAGGAGAAATTTGAGATGGGTTTTTGGATGGTTTAACAGAGAATGATGATGGGGTTGGCGTGAATAAAGAAGCAAAGGAAGGTAGAATTACTTCCATGGATTATTTGGCTACCATGCGATGCCAGAAGCCAGCCTTCCTTCTTCACTCAAATCCCACACAC